GGAGGTTGGAGGAATCGCATGACGAAATATTGGAAACAGCTAGCGAAACTTGACATCCTGCCGATGAATCCACAGAATCTGGGAGAGGATTACAAAATTGTGCGACTGAAGTATATAGCATGCGTCTCCTATGGCACTACTAAGTTTATTGAGTGTAGGTTATCGAACATTCATATGAACTATGCCCCCGCAATCAACAGTTATGTCGATTAAAATAAGGTTTTTTAAAAGAAAATATTCATTTTTTTCTGTGATTTCTGTGATTCTGGTTTCGGTTTTCTTTTTTTCCTTCTAATATACCATAATGACCTTTTAGATCACCTTTACACAACTGAGGAGAAGGAAGTGAGACCAAAACCTGCGTGTCAGCCGCTATTACAAGAAAATTAATAATACCAACCCAATAAATAGAGTGTTGTTACACAATGGACACAAACTCGTACAAGGAGTACTCATTCTCTCGAACCTGTCAACGACAGTCGTAAGAGGCGACGATGCAAAGCTTCCAATAAAAAATATTATTCTGATCAAATATAACAAGGAACAATCTGAACACGCATCAAACTAGAGGTCATGCAACATCCAATGTAGCTCCATCTTCTGTGTACACACGGGCTCTCTCGCACCGTACTGCTAAAGTCTTAACGCATGAAAATAACTCCCCATGTATGACCGGGAGGCTCCACAAAGATGGAAGAACGGAAAGTGAAGAATGCTGAGAAGTTGTAGCCACAATGACCAAGTAGATGTCTTTTGGATTCGTTTTTTGCCTCGAAGAGGATGCAGCCTTCACGTTGAAGGAGAACCTAGCTGTGGATTCAGTCCTTTATGACCTGCCAAAGGAAGCATTTGAAGAAGAGAAACATCGAGATCTTTATGTAGTAATAAAACCTAAAAATATAAGCAGCTAAAAGCAACCAACAAGAGAAAAGGGAAGAATAATGTACTTGCGATGAGGCACGAAAATTTGTCCGTAGATTCTTGTCAATCATCTCCCTGTGCCATCTCCGTATATGGATCAGTGACAACATCTTCATGCTGAGCTACTGCCTATGGACAACGCCTTCATACTATTTACATGACCGCATCATTTGTTCTAAATTCTTTTGGAAATATAAATTATTGCGTAGGTGCAAATACACAAGTAAGTAACGTAGAAGGAAACAAACAAGCATACAGTCTTGATAGTAGGACGACATCATCGAATCCCTGCTCCAAATAGCTTCTTTACTCTCAAAATATCTATAAGTAGAATAACCAGGCAGAGGCCTTTTATTGATCCTGTACGAAAGGAGAAAGTCATCGTACATTAAAACAAATACACATATATGTATATACAGTCATGGGATAGATAGAAAAGAAAATGGATAATGAACTTACCGGAACGACGAATTCATCATACTTTTGCATCGTACATGGGTGGATGCTTGCTATATCGAATATACTTTTTCCTGGAATAGGTTTGGATTATGACATCTGGAATCTGTTGAATGATATGCCAATTCTCGTTGCCCTCGAGACAGCTCTTCAGCAGCACGATGTTGCATTGCAGTTCCAGTTTTCTGAAGCTCCACTGAGCAGAAGGAATGCTTTGGCGCTGCTGAATTAGGGTTGACAGCCACTGCGGAAGTTGCTTCATTTGTCGTGGACATATCAGGACCAGCTGTTGCAACCTGTCGAGATTCTCCACGTACTCCAGATTCGGACAATCTTCCACCTTCAGATACTTCATGGAAAGGTTGGATATTCTATTCAGCATCGTGTTATCTTTGACCTCGAGCTTGTAATTCAAGCGGAGGTTTGTGATTTCTCTCAAGTCATGAGTTCTCTCAAGGTACAATTCCTTCAAATTGGTAGCATGGGATAGGCCTTCTGGTAGAGCTCTCAGTTTGGGACAGTCTATGATCTTGCATGTCTTTAGATTAGGAAAGAGCTTTAGGTGCGGTCCCTGACCATTTTCTTCCATCCCCCATACTGACCATTCTTCCCAGTTGGGCATTCCGTAAAACTCCAGATATTCAAGTTTTGGAAATGCGGAAGCTCCCGGTAAGTTGCGGCCCAGAAACTCAGGCCCAATGGTTTTGATGGCTTCACCGCCGGTGATGTCAAGATGTTTTAGCAGGGGCAACATGCCTAGAGGAGGCAGTTCCGTGCATGATTTGAGGTACCAAATCCTCAAATATGCCAGATTAGGGAAGGATTTGTCTAGTGATGTTGACATCAACCAGCCTGGGAATTGCCGACCGGGGAATCGTTGAAAGATAAGATCTTCCAGGCTGGATGGGGGAGAGAGTTCATCGCATACCTTCTCAACTGCTTGGAATTCCTTCTCATTCCATGTCACTTCTTGGCCCTCATCCTTATCTCTGTTATCCTCCTTATTTTCTTCCTCCTCCTCCTCCTCCTCCTCCTCATCATCATCATCATCATCTTTCTCACAGTTGCTATCACCTCCATCACCATCACCATCACCAGCGTCTTCCAAATCATCGTCATCTTCTTTTGGAGGCATCCAACATAAAGTCAGCTCCTTAAGAAAACTTTTATCCATAAGTACTGAGACTCCTGTTAATGTCCTTTCCAGCCTGTATATTGTCAGACATCTGAGCTTGGAAAGAGCTTGCAGCTCCTTCAAGTCACACCCCTTCTCGTGCAACTTGTTCGTTGGATCGTTATGGCCAACCACAAATCCTTCTAAATGATTAAGATCCATCAGTTTTCCGATTCCCTTGGGTACATGAGTCAGAGGAACATTTTCAATATCAAGACACCGTAGACTGTGCAGCATGGTGATCGACTTAGGAAGTCTGTGCAAATATTGGCAGTTCCAGAGGTTCAGAGTTTGGAGGTTTGCAAGGCGCCCTATAGATTCTGGTATCTCATAAATATTTGTTTCATGCAAATCTAAATATCTTAGTTGCAACAGATCTCCGATACAATCTGGAATTCTCTTAATTGATGTACCAGACAGAACCAACACTCGAAGATGTGATAACTTTCTAAGTACATTATCCTCGATTATCTTGGTTCGAGGGGAATAAACGAGAATTAAGGTTCTTAAACACTTCTCTTCCATAATTTGATCTGGCAGTACCAATTTATTCCCCATTTTAGACACTGACAACCGACGGATCTTTGCATTGGCTTTTAGATTTAATCTTTGACCATGTCTAATTAATTTTCCTTCGTCCTTCATTAAATATGCACCCAGAGATCGTAAGTGGTCATGCATAAAGAAGTGTTTCCTGCCTAAGGTACCTGGGTA